CAGCAAATCTCTTTGGCTGGAACTCGACATGGGCTTTTAATTCTGGTGTCAAATTATTAAAGGTGCTTCCCTGGTTGAAATTATTCTTTCTCTTTTTGTGGGGAGCTTACAGATTCTTTTAAAATATGAAACCTATTTCTTGTAGTCGTCTTGACCAAGATTTATACAATGATGCACACATAATATACAGAGAATAATGAAATCTCAAGGCAAACCAATACAAAAACTCACCTCTAACACTCATTTCTTGATAATTCCTTCAGCGATTGTTCCAGGTCATCCATAAGCACATATAAATATAATATTCAGCACCAAAAACAATTGAAAAGGCACGAGTAAAAAGCTGAATGGTTCGACTCTCCAGATATCGTATTTCTGGAGAGTCATATTTACATTTTCTGCCAGGCGCAGCAGAATCCGTCGTGTGTTGACCTAGCACCCCCGCGCGCTCACTCATCTTAGCCACTGATCTATATAAAAACACTGTAGTGTTGCTATTTTTAGTACGTTATTTGCGCCTGGGTACGAGGCTGTAATTATTTGTTGTGATTCTGGAGCAGTTGTGCTCGCAATGAATGATTATTTATTTATCTATCAGTCGTTTTTAATATTTATATCGTGAAGCCTGGCTATACGCTATCAAAATACTCAATTAATTTTTTATATATGCTCAAATTGAAACAGAGTCATTGTGCTAACACTTACAATATTGTGTGCAAAACTTCAAAACTACAGTACATTTTGTAAATAACATGAAATATATTAAAATATCGAACAAAATTCTCATTAATACTATTGAAATTTAATACAACGAAATAGCATTCTACGTCGATAATTTCAATCATAGACATAGTTTAATAATTATTTTCAATCTATAGTAATTCGCTGTTTCCATGTTTTTTTTATACTTTCAATAAAGCTACTATAAAGCTAAATTTGTAGGAAATAACATTATTTAGTTATAAATAGTATAAAAGGAAATCTAACAGTCAATCGCTTTCGATAAAACCTTGACCTTGTTTATATTACCGTTGTTTGCAACTAACGATGAACAGTCGCTCATAAAAAACATTGCCTATTCGCGTGAGAATCTTAAGTTTTCTTATTTTGACATAATAGCTATTTTTCAATAAATATATTGATATTAAACTTATTGAATCAATATTTTAAGTTTCAAGCCAGTTGTACCACAAGTTATAAGCAGTAGCGCATCATAACCAGGGCACAGAAAGGGTCGTACAGAAGCCCAATTTCTTGGTTTTTCCTATGATTTTCCAATGATTTTGGCGGTTAGCACTTTTTTTCCATCCACAAACCGCCCTATCGATTTTCTAAAGTCGTTTTTTTTAATTTTTTCATTAATTCGATTAGGGTTAGAGTTAGGGTTGCGGTTAGGGTTAGGGGTTAGAGTAGGGGTAGGGTTTGTGTTAGTTACATAGCCATTTAATATCTCTTCTATCTTCCGAAAATGACGTCAGGTCAGTTTGCTGGATGGAAAATATTATTATTATTATTATTATTATTAATTATTGATACATGAAGAAGGCCATATAAAGCCTTAATTGCCATGCATTTACATTAAAAATTTAAGATGAAATATTTACAGTTTACATTATACAGTATGTAAAATATTCTTTATAGAAATACCTTATATAAAGTGAAATATGAGTTGTTAGATAATTAAAAAATGTATAATTAAACTATCAAGGTTTGTAAAACTTGGTAAAACTAAGATCTCGCTAAACTACTATTATAACAATTTATAGCGTACACCAAAGGACTGTTCTTAAATCTCTCTGTTCGAAACTTAAATTTATAATACATATTGGGATTAGATCTGGTTTCTCTTTGTCTTGTATCTCTAACACGATCTGGAAGTAAGTTATAGTATAGTGCTACTATTAGGATTGGTGTACAATTATCCCGGCAACCTCGTACCCAGGGCCTTTGCGCGGTTCAAAGGCTCTGGTACGGGAAGCAAAGGCCCTGGTAAACACTGGTCACGTGTGTCCAAAAATATTGGACATTTTTGTAACCTGGCCTTATTAAAGTCATGTCATCCCGGGGGGGATGAATAATTGAACATTGCAATGGGCGAACTAAATTTTAAAAATACATATTTTGCCTTTGATTTTTAAAATATGAATGTATAACAAGTGTTTTAAAATTCATATGTTAAAACAACAGGCAGCAGATTTTAAGCTTGTTTTTATTTTGATGGAAATTATAAACTGGAAATTATAAATGCAGTATATTCGAGGTACGATTTTATGATGCATATTATATAAAAATTATATTCTCATATATTTATCAGTTTATATATCCTAAATTCCAGCAGATTTGTGGCTCTCTGTTTGTATAATTAGTTTTCTTCGTCTAATTATTCCTCCATCTTTCGCTTTTGGATATAAACCCTCCTTCATGCCTGATACATTTTTTTGTTATCTGCATCCTTCACTAAAATCAAAATCTTCTGTACGTTCCAGCTTGCTCAGAAAATATTCAGTCTTTCATAACTGGAGTTCTCTTTGACATGTAAAATCGTCAAGCTGTACCCTCAGTAAAATACTTATTTAACTGGCTGACTATTATAGTAGTCAAAAGTTCATAAATGAATACATGCAAGAATTACAAATTAACTGCCCTCATTCCAACCATTGGTTTCTGACTCATCCAATAAAAGCTTAACAGAATAGTACGATGATAATAGAAAAGTGTGAAAATGCCAATCTTACCCAGTACCTAACTTTCTGTACGTGACAAGAAAATTAGATTACATTAATTTTACAGTCAGGTATTCTTTTCTTTATCGCCTCAATACTCTGGTTTATGATTTTGATGTTTAATTTTAAAAAATTCCAATGGCCAACATACATTCTACTGGAGAAAATGTTCCCCCAACTCTTGCCATAAATCTCAATAGCCCCCAATTTTACTATTTTGCCGATCCAAAGGAGACAAATACGGCATGCTTTGTTATTTTTCTCTGTTCAACACCAGACAATTTTACTTGTCAAGGGTACTGTAAAAAGTGGCTGGATATTCTATACTTGCTCCATATAATGGGTCATTCCAGAAAGCATCCATACCACCCCCACAGAGGAAATAGGAAGCTAACCCCCCTACCCCCTTCGGATGTCCTAATTAGCGAGTTTACGACGCATGCTTTTTTGCGACGGCGACTTCTTTGTTTCGCGACGGCCGCGCAGAATAATTTTAGTTTACGTAGTTGATTCTTTTCACGACGACGTCGCTTCCCTTAAATTTGGCGGGAATCTATATAAAAAATCATTGTTTTTAAAATAAAATTCGGAAACGAAAATGCCAAAGTGGAGAACAGTTCGAGACCATCTTTTATACGCTCACTCCGAAAGTTTAATCGATGATGAAGAGTTTATTTTGCTTTTCGACTTATATACAGCCAAAAGTCCAGATTTGCCTTATTGGAAATACGATGAGTTTGACTTGGACAAATTAAGTGACGACGAGTGTATAACAGAATTTCGTTTTTTGAAAGGCCACATTTACATTCTAGTAGATGCTATGAAGCTACCAGAAGTTATCAAATGCTATAACGGCCTTTTGGTAGACCGAGTGGAGGCTTTGTGCATATTTTTGAAACGCTTTGCTTATCCTTGTCGATACCTGGATATGATGCCAAGATTTGGCAGACCCGTTCCTCAACTTTGCATGATCAGTAATGCTGTCATGAGCTTTTTATACACTCAATGGAACCATTTGCTTTCAACGTTTGATCAACCTTGGTTAACTTCAGACAATATAGAAGAGTTTTGTCATGCAGTGTTTCAGAAGAGTGGTGCCTTGGAAAATTGTTTTGGTTTTGTTGATGGGACAGTTCGTCCTATTTGTAAACCTGGCAAAAATCAAAGGGTTCTTTATAATGGCCACAAGAAAGTACATGCAATAAAGTTCCAATCATTGGCTGTCCCTAATGGTCTTGTGGCGAACCTCTTTGGCCCAGTTGAGGGTAAACGCCATGATAGCGCGATGCTTGCCCAGTCAGATTTATACAATAAGCTTCAACAGCTAGATCCCTTACCAAATGAAAATCCTGTTTGTATCTACGGTGACCCTGCCTATCCTCATCGACCTCAATTACAATGCCCATTCAAAGGAGCGAGAATAACTCCTGAACAACAAGAATGGAACAAAGCGATGAGCAGCGTACGCGTATCTGTAGAGTGGATTTTTGGGGACATTGTGAATTACTTCAAATTCATTGACTTTAAAAAAAACCTAAAAATTCAACTAAGTGCAGTTGGGAAAATGTATATTTGTTGCACTTTACTTCATAATGCCAGATGTTGTTTTTATGGCTAAATAACCTCACAGTTTTTTGAACTAGAACCTCCATCCATAAATGAATACTTTGTGTGAAAATTAGCCACACTATGTTAAATGTTAAGTGTTTAACTTGCATAAGTTTATGTTTCAACAATACATCTACAGGAGAGTTAACCCTAATGTTTATTAAACATCATATTCCTGTTCAGAATATGAACATCACAGGGCCTCTTTTAAGGATTTGTCAGAGGAGGGGCCATCAAGAACAATGGGTCCAACTAGGTGGTGAACAAGAAAACGGTGTCTGGGGGCCCTCTCCAAGAAAATGCTTGTATTTTAAGTGTCTGGGACTAGATATTCAGCATTTTTAGAAACATTTTTTATATATTTCATCCACTAGACAAAGATTTGGCCATGGGAATACTAAAACATTCTTCTTACCTAAGTTATTATTCATCCCCTTTTTGCTTATCGTTTACACAAAAAGGACCTGAAGCCCTGTTTTGGTCCTTCCAGTGAACTGGGGGGGGGGGCAACATAGTTCACTGAAGGACCAAAACAGGGCTAGGGAGAAAAATCTCCCTCCAGTCTATGGTATTAAAAGAGGCCCTGCAAATAATGTTTTATCTAAAATAACAATAACAAGTGAACATGTAACTGGAGTATAAGAAACATAATGCAACGTTAAAAATAGTTTACTCCTTCTTAGTAATGCTCTGCATCAGTGACAGGAGAGCTGTATTTTGAAGTTGCATTTGATGCATGAGTTGTTCTTGTTGCCTTTGTTGTGCAGCAATGCTGTCAGTCAAGGCTTTAGTAAGAGCTTCCTGCTGTGAAGTAACACTATTTTGCTGTTGCTTTCTTTCTTCAGCTTCAATTTGTCTCAACCTCAATTCCTCCCTCTTAAGTTGGGCATCTACATCCGACTTCTTTTGCAAATAGGCAATTGTTTCACTACCAGTAGTCGACACTCTTCTTTTAGATTTCTCACCATCTTTACTTTCAGACTTTCTTTTTCTGCTTTCAGCCAATGTTTCCATTGACAGTTGCCTCATTTCTACTGCCTTTCCTACCTCTGCAACAGAATTTTCTTTTTGTTTCTCTTCCAATACTTTATCATCATCATCCCTACTCCTAAACAATTCAATCATCTCCTCTATGGCGATTTCTACTTCCGATGGCTCAGGAGAGATTCCGGAAGCTTTTTCCTCTTCCCTCAATCTCCTCTTCTGCTGTTTCTGGAGTAGAGTATAGTGGTCTCGAACAGATTTTTGTGTCACACCAAACATTGGAGTATTTAGATCATTTAGTGAATCACTGATCATCTCCCAAGCATGGCCCCGTTGCTGCGATCCTTTTTTATAGTTCCATGGTTGAAATAAAAACATTTCACGAATTAGTACTTCATTATGTTCGTCCGTCCAGGTCATTGCTTTCTTGCTAAAATCATGAATGAACAAAATGTTAAAATAAGGATATGAGAACATATGTATTACAAATGACTAAAATAGTCACAAAACACATAACAAGATATTGGGGCCATGCCACCTGGGGAAGGCGGTGTAACATGAAGGACCCCAAC